GGAAACTGAAACATTTATGTTTAATGCTCAAGTAGATCAGTCTAGGTTAAAATACACCACAAGGACACCCCCCCATCGTCATCACATGTAATAACCGACTGCTGACTGACATAACTAAGGCTAACTCCCGGAAGGTTTAATGCACTGCTGCCGCGACAGCGAAGCCCCCACCCCCAAACACTACCAGGGCTGTTAGCGCCTGACACCAACAACCCACAACCCAACTGTGACCCCAATCGGTGCAAAGGGCATCGCCGCACAGACCACACTCCGTAATGTGCCACTAGAGCCATGTCGCCATACTCTCACACCCGAAAGCGGTACATTAACCCGATCTAAAGACCCTTCAATTAGACAAAACGCTTTTAGCAGTCTCCCCCTTCCATTTGATAAAAGGTTAACGCATTACATTACTTTAGTGAGAAAAGTTGACCACTCCAAAAAACATAAAAACCCACGAAATGAAAAAAGCTGTAGGCATTTACAACGAAGGAGAAAAGGAACGGATACTTTGCCGGAGGCTGAACAAGAATTTGTAAAGTAAAAATGATAAAGTAGCCCATCAAGGACAAACCAAGAGGCCAGAATCGTACGAGAGAGACTCTGGAATTTCCAAAGGAATCCGTGGAAAGGCAGACGGAGGCAACCACATAGAATATCGTTACCAAGGCAATGCAAGCATGACAGAGTCCATCCTTGAAGAACAACGGCCACATACTTAGTGTTGACACGAACAGGAAATAATAGGACGATAAAGGTAACATTGGAAGTAGACAAAGCACTGGTACGGCGACAAGGAGTATTGATTTCTCATGCACCTGATAGGAAAAGAGGTAAAAGGAAAGAGAGACGATAGCCTCTGTGAGGATCAGTCGAGTTATGCTTGGTCTTCTGAATAGACTCAAGCACGCAGGCAATGAAGAAAGGAGAGTAACAAGGCAACATATGTAAAAAAGCACACATTTAGGGTAAAACTGTCTCCAATTTATGAAAACAGAAGATATGCACCAGAAATTCCCCACCTTGTCCTCAAAAAGGCCCCTATTTACAGGAAACAAACGCAACGCGACTTGGTTCAGCCGTTCAAGGGGAGTGAAGAATGGTAGAAAAATAAGAAAGAAGGTTGTGCAGACCGTTATCGCCAAAACTGCGATACGGTTAAGACAGGCGGTAAAGGAATGAGAAAAACACTTTGATAGGAGAAAAACAAATATGGGTAAGGCGTGATAGAGTTCCATTTGTTTATAAAGGATGGCTAGACAAAAAACAACGCTCCCAATCACATCGAAGTCTTTTGCAAAAAATGTTAAACTTAGTACAAATAGACCTAGACTAATACAATTGTACTGGAAGTGACCATGGTCCACAAGGATCAATCCCGGGAAGGACAGCATCGAAACGGCAACCGAGATACTAGAGAGCGCAGCATCTTTCTTTAGCAGTTTTTGCGCAGTACTGCAGTAAAGAAGAACTGCAGGCATGAATGAAAGACAATCTGATACAAGAACAGTTAGCCGCATAAATCTTTTGTGTTCGGGTGTCTCAAGACCTCGTGAAGTAAACAATTCAGTCCAAGATAGATTCAGCATTTTCGAAATGCAACCAAGGATGTAGCTGTGATAGGCGGTAAGTGGCGGGTAATCCAGACCCCAGTATTGTAGATCATTGGATGAGGTGTTAACATACCACTCCGAAGTGGGGAGATTGACAGTCACTTCCATCCAGTGGCGTTGAGCCTCATAGTCACCAAACATGGGTGGAGAAGCCATGCCGGAATAAGGTTGCAGAATACCCAAGGAACGAAGACTAATCCCAAATGCCAACAAGAGGACTGCATACAAAAGACCGTCGAAAAAATCCCCAGACATTATCTAAAAGGCAAATAACATTGAATATGAAGTACGACAAGTAGACTAGGTTATGGAAACGGAAGCAATGTTCCATATGATAAAGTTGGATAGTTATATTTAAGTAGTTGCACAGACACAACGGACATTGTGGTCGTAATTTTAATGACTTGGTGTGAATTAAATATGTCTGCGTAGAGCAAGTCTTAAATTCAACTACCGCAAACTGACACGGCCAATCGTAATTTGTGTGGTTTTCAAACAATCCGCTCTTAAAATTGGTCTATACAAACCTATCCCATTTAGAACACAATGCGCAGATTTATTATTTTTAATATCAAATTTACTTCTGCACTATTCTTCAATGCAGTTCCTCGACCTTGCTAATTTATTTGAACTATGGTAGATGCCAACAGATTTTATTAAACTTAGGACTGCTGAAATTCATCAAAAACTGTATAGGACTCAGTGATGCTTAACTACACACACTTAGAAATTTTACCATACCGATCGAGCACCACACCTAAGACGCTCCACTGCTATTGCACTAATGGGCTTTGCAGCCTTCTCTGATTGATAAGTTCGATTACCACCTTCTAGTGGTTTCAACAATCTCTATCAATCACAGGGTAAAACATTTACATCACTTTGCTGCGGCACCACACAAAGGAGGGGTACTTAGCATCGACCACATACTCAACAAAAGTGCGTGGTCCCCAACCGCCCCTGATTATTTGGTACTTTCGACGCAAATGCTTCGGCAATCCAACGCTAGGTTTATTTCAAATAGCAACCATTACAGCTTCGAAGACGATGGGCATCTATGTTCCTTAGAACATTTGGACGCACTTCCCCCGGGTCCCTCCTTATCGTTAGTCCACTTCTCGAAATCAGTGCACACACACATTTGGTTTGTATCATTTTCTACCCAGTGACCGTCCAGATGATTGCAAGTACTCACTTCAAATTCACGTCCAAAGAGTCCTCTTAAAAGTAAAACATTTTTGTGCATTGTAAAACAGCCACTTCTATAATAA